CACTTCCTTCTATTTTCCTATGACCCGTATTCCTTATAAGATGGGAAAGATTGCTATTACCAATAGCCGCCGCTTTCTCTGTCTCTCTACACTTCCCTATCCATCACTTTTCGCGGTCATTCCTTAGACTCTTGATGAGCTGGAGTTTAAGGGTTATATTTGGCATGGCATACGGTTGGTGCGTACACGGACGCGACGATTGGGCCCCGACGCTTTGTTCTGTAGCTATTGACACGTACTGAACCCCCGAGCAGTACAGCGCACAGTCGGCTAGTGACTGGAATTTAGTCAAGCTGATTGTCTGTCCACCGTTCGGGATTGGCCCTTAGTCTCAGACGTCCCATGAGACAGACGGAACGTGGACGCGACAGCACTTTATTGGCTGAGGGCTGCTCAGTTCGGGCGGGTGGNTTCAATATACTGCAAAAACTTCTCACACCGTCAGGAGGGAAGCCCCAGGTACCCCGTTGCTACGTCCATCCTGTGGGATTTTTTGACAGGTAAACTGCTCCTACCAGTGTTAATTTGCTGCAGTGACCTCTCCAGGAACAAGAGTGGATAGTCAAAGGAAGCCAGGAGAAGGCCACCACACGACGTCCAGGTGCAGTCTCGTCGTGATGGATCATTTTTGTTCACACATAAGTGGAAACACTAGGAAAACCTTGGAGGGATTCGAGACTTTTCCCGAGGAAACACTTCGTTGATACCCGAAACTTCTGGTAACCAACATCGACAAAATACACACCAACATAGCAAAAAGACAGTCATGGTTGTAATAGGGAGTGAATGACACTCGTGACTAAATCCATTAAGGGATGAAAACGCGTTTCGGCCGATCCCATTGCGCGCGCGCACACACAAACGCATCTTCATCCCCAATGAGAGCCTTGCGATTACCCTCTACCCACAGGGTTTACTGTCTTGGGAACTGGAACGATAAGAAATTCCGAAAATAGTTGTTCGCTCGATCTTGTGACGTTGATATGACCATGAGCATTTCTACGCATATTAATGATAGCATTCATAATAATAACAATAATAATAATAATTCACAAAAATACTATTTTGGTATGAAACCAAGGTACTATGTTGAAAACAGAATCTGTAGGCTACTAAACGCTTCCAGGGATCAGTCGAACTCTACAGGCTGTGACAACAAAAGGATGGGGAAAAAAAACAATTCCGAATATGATATCCAACTCACGGTGGAATGACGAGTTCAGCTTTTGTGCCACACTTGCCACATACACCCAACGCTTCGATACAAGGAGTGCAAACGGTATAGTAGGCACGCTTCACCGTTTTCTGATTACATTTAAGGCTGTCACGTTTTCCGGTACGGGAGAGGGTGAATGAAAAACGAAAAGAAATGGTAAAACAAGGAGATAGTGCACTTTTGTCGATTGAGACATTACATTGGGGGGGGGGTAACAGAATTATACACCATTTACCACTGGATGATTGGGAAAAACGGTGGTGTGTGTGTTGTAGTTCAATATTGTAGGTTTCGGACTTAGCGGCTATCATAATGGCAGACTCGAATGGATTTACTGGTTGTAATTCTCTTTTTATCTTCACACACATGTGTGATTGATAACAGACAGGGTGGACCCCATAGTCAGGAAGATCTGTTGTTCAGTGATGGAAACCGGTGTGGTACTGAGTTGGAAGATAGTAAAGCCGCCACAATAACTTCCCTGTACCGGACAACATACTAGCCGGGACCTGTACAAGTCGCGTTTGAACGCAGATGGACGTTGTGAAGTCATATGATGACCGCTTCCGTGGTGCCTATACCGACCCATCTTGGACTTGTGTAGCAGTCGGAACGCTTCATTCTCATTTGCGGTGTGATTAGTGCGAACAAGGTGCGGAACGACCACAGCTAATTGTTTACTTCACATCCACTCAGGATGGCGCTCATAGATGCGCTTGAATAGGCGTCTAATTATGCTGCCAATATCTTTTGTCCCGCAGAAGCAAGCGAAAGAAAGAGGCAGTAATATCGGGTGTTTTACACTGCCCACCATGCAGAGGCTTTACCAAATTATCTCCTTTAAATGCTTGCAATCTTTTTCTCGGCTTCCTTCCGTTTGGGAAACACCTGTCCTTTCGTCACAGAATTCCTAGAGCGTCCCGGATATCCAGATGTCCTCT